GGTGGGGGGTAAACATAACAGCCTACGTGCATGTAGTGAAAGCATTAACCCCCTCTCTTCCTTCTGTGTCACTGTACATTCCACAGGATCAGTGAGGGGGATTTTTTTATTTATTTTTTTTTGGGGGGGGGTGGTTTTTGTTGTTGTTGGTGGTTTTTTAGGAGTGGAGAGGAGAGGAGGAGGGGGGTGAGTCTCCTTTTAAAATCCTCCTGCAATAACAGCAGCAGAATGTGACAAAATGTGACTGTTTTACTAGGAGACCACAGATGGATTGGTGAGGGTATGGGAGGGGGGGGGGCATAATTGGTCGTTTTTAAGCACAAGGGGGCTATCCCGAAAAATGCTGTTTTGAGAACATCGAAGGTAAAGTTTTTAAATTGCCCCTTGTTCACTTTCTTTAAAAGACAAGGAGAGTTTTCTCTATAACCAAATAAATATACACACCAATGAAACCAAACTTCTCCTATAGGTCGGGCAATGCCCACTTTTGGTGTAGGTCAAGATTTCTGGAAGCCCCCGAAATCTGGGTTAGCCCGCTTGTCCTTGAAAAAAAGTGACCAATTCATTGAGGGAATCCAGTCTAGTCAACGTTTGTCCTGCCATAGATCCCAGTCTAAGTCAAGTCTAAGTCAAGTGTATGTCAAGTCTAAGTCACGTCAGTCCCTGGTATTTATATACAAACTGTTCTCGTGTGGGGTTTTCCCTGTCGACATTTCTGACCTTCCCTCCACGCCCAGCACGCGCACCACCAAACCACGCCGGGGGACGGGGTTTTTAATGATTCATGTCTTGGTTTGTTGGTTTGTTTGTTTGTTGGTTTGTTTGTTTGTTTGTTTTCCTCCTAGATTTCCCACCATGTGTCATGTCTGAAGACGAAACTTTACAACAGGAATATTTTCTATATTTGACCTGTCTTATTGGAGCTTTTTCTGCTGATCTAGTCAGTTTTTTTTTACAAATCTATTGGCATGACTTGTTTATCTCTTTCTCTTTCTCTTTCTCTCTCTCCCTCTCTCTCTCTCTCTCTCTCTCTCTCTCTC